TACCCCTCTGGCAGTGGGAAGCCATTCCCCTTGTCCTGTCACTCCAGGCCCTTTTCCGAAGTCTCTGTCCATCTTTAGGCACTGGGAGGCCACAATTAGCTCACCCCAAAGCTTCTCCTGGTTTGGGGGGGCTGTACCCTGCTGAGAGGCTCCCCTGGGGGTTTTTTTGGGGGGGGGCTTGTTCTCCCCCTCCTCCCCCCTGACCCACCTGTATCCCTGCTGCCGGGTGCACTCGTTTCCCGTTAAATCCAGGATTTGGAGGCTCCGGGGCAGCTCCTCTGCCAGGACAAAAGGTGCTGAGGTGGGACCTGAGCCCCCCACCCCTGCCCAGCCAAATTCCTGCTCCCCCAAACTCCCCCAGCTCTTCACCCACTCCCAAAGCGACTCCTAGAGCAGCCCTGACACCCCAGAGCCAGGAAAACTGAGGCAGGGAAGGTGGGAATGAATATTCCACACACACACTGGCAGCCCCAGCATCCCTTCCTGCTTCCCACCTGTGTCCAGCACCTGGATGAGGTTGTGGGACAGGTCCAGGGCACAGAGGTGAGGCAGGGGCTGCAGGTTCTCCACCCTCTGGATGCGGTTTCCAGCCAGGCAGAGGAACCTGGAGAGCACAGGGAGGGTGAGGGGGGGATGTCACAGCTCCCAGGGGCTGGAATTTGAGCCCCCTCCCTGGCCAAGGGAAGGTGGGAGCCCATGGAAAGCCATTTCCCTGGAAGCAGGAGCTGCCGTACCTCAGGTTGGGAAAACAGCCCAAATTTTCGATCCTCTCAATTTTGTTCTGGAAAATAAAGATAGGAAACAGAAAATAAAGTAGAAAATAGAAAAATTAAATATAACAATGCGTTTTTCCCGTGGCATGAAAAATTTGGGGATTTTGGGAGCGTCCTGGGATCGGGGGTAGAATGTCCCACCACAGGGGAGATCATGGAGAGGGAATTGCGGGGGTGAGGACATGGAGAGACCCCAAAATTCAGGAGGACCCTTGGGGTTTGGAAACACCAGGTGGCTGATCCCAGACCCTCACTGGAATTCCAGTGGGACTGGTATCAGATGGGAGGGAAACACTTTTTCCTCCAGGTTTGGGGGGCTCAGAGACCTCTGGGGTGGGGGCTGTGGGGGGTGGTCACTGGGACCAGATCCCGGATGGAGGGAGACTGTTTTCCCTCCCCTCTGGATGCTGGGGAGGGGAGACAGGAGGAGATCTGGGGGGGGTTGTGTCCCCCCCAGGCCCAGGGTCGGTCTCAGCTGCCCCACAGCTCCGTACCTGCTGCAGGTAGAGGCTGTGGATCCCTCCCTGATCCCGGAGCTTCCCGATGCAGGAGATGTTCTCCCGGTCCAGGCGGATGGTGGAGGGGGGCAGCAGCTCCGTGGATCTGGAGGAAAAGGATGGAGGGGGGGGGGTGTCTTTGGGGTGCCCAGAGCCCCCTCCCTGCCAGCCCAAGGTCCGTGGGGTCCTCACCTGCTCCTGGTGAGGACGAGGCTGTCGCTGAGGGTCACTCCTGGGGATGTCCCCTCACGGTCTGTGGGATCTCAGGGTGAGGGTCCAGGCTGGGGGGTGCAGCCCCCCCCATCCCCTCCCTGCTGGGAGGAGCCCCCACCCCACAATGTCTCACTCACCCCCACAAAGGGTTTTCTCCTCCTGCTCAGACATGGCAGGGGGTGGCCTGGGGGGGTCCTTGTCCCCTCCTCGTGCCCTTGAGTGGGTGTCTGGGGGGGGTTGAAAGGGGAAGGGACTGAGCGAAAGGGGGGCCAGAAACCTGCAGAATGGGAGGGGTCAGTGGGGACAGGAGTGTTGGGATTGTGGGGTGTCACAGCTGGGACCACCAGGTGGGGCAGAGGGTCCCTGTATCTAGGGGGCTGTGGAGTCACCAAAGTGGAGCTGGGGGATCACGGGGACCAGGACCCCCAGCCTGGGGATCTTAGAGACTCCTGGGGGGCTCCCCTGGTCCCATGGGGCTTTGGGGGCTCAGATTTGCGGCTCAGAGACCCCCGGGGTTGGGTCAGGGAGCTCTCCGGGCACTGGTTGCCCAGGTTTGGGGGCTCAGGGACCCCCGGGGTTGGGTCAGGGAGCTCTCCGGGCACTGGTTGCCCAGGTTTGGGGGCTCAGGGACCCCCGGCCCCGCGCAGGCCGCGCTGTTGCGATGCC